AAAATAGTGTTCTGCATCATTATTATGTGCTTGTACACAAGATATGAAGAGTAGAGTGGGTGGCATACAGTCAAGTAAGGACATATCATAAATTGTGTTGATGACACGAATTAGTTTCGTGATTATAACTGTAAATTTGCAATAAGAAAAAGATTTTGCAGCAAATTTTGCAATTTCTACTGTAGTTTCCAGCAGATTTGGAATGACGACTTTTGTGAGAATGTAAGTATAACTTCATAAATTTTCTACATTTTGAAGGCAATAATGTAAGTAAAACTTCAACATTATTGCCTTCAAAATGTAGGAAATTTATCGTCGAAACACTCAGTAAGACATCAAATTAATCATAACTGTACTCAATACTCATTCGTTTGATTGTAAAACTTTTTTTTTAATGTAAAAATTCACTTCATGACACAGTCGTTGTCATGCATTTTGCTTTGATCGAGTGTCGTTGGAGGACTAGGGAAGGGCCTTCGCGATGCGGCGAACAAAATTGCAAGAGCAAAACCTGCTCAGTCTGCGTAAATCAAATCGCGATACAGCTAGGGAAGCAAAGGGCTAATACAGCCTTTACAAGAGTTATCTGCTTACAACAAGCACATCGATCTATTTTGCAACTGCACTCATTCTGTTGTTTGTCTCAAAGACTGTTCAGTTTCTCAAACTAACAAAATGTGGCTTGCGGCATCATATCAGTTTTATATCGATATCCATGAGCGGTGAAATGAGATTCTGCTCTGATAGATCAAGATGACGCGTAAATGCAGGAAGCATTTTCTTCAGTATTTTTGTAATTGTCGACTACTGAATCAAAAGAGAGCGATGAAACGGAAATTCGGGCTCACGTCACGATATCCAAGAATTAGACCACAGGGCTGGTCAGTGCCTGTAACGGGGTTACACGTACTTTGGTATGAAAGAGTGGGTCACATAATATGGTGTGACCTTACAAAGTTGTGGATTACACAAGTTGGTGTATTCACACAATGGTGTGGCTACATCGAAACAAGACCCCACCACGTGGCAGGACTGCCAGTACTTATGCATAATAATTCAGTTTTATTATTTAATCAGGAGAGCCTATGGTTTGAGATATAGGCGACTCTGCCGCAAATAAAACAATTAAATACAGATTTCAATTTTGAGCGGAAGAGCGCTTTTGCCTTGGTTAAGGTTTTAGGTAAGCGGATTGCGATCCGCTGCTGTAACGGGGTTACACGTACCCTTGATGAAAGTGTGGGTCACACAAGATGGTGTGACCAAACAAATGAGTGGATTACAACAGTTGTGTAATCACACATTGGTGTGGCTACACCGTAACAAGAAGCCTCTATGTGGCAGGACTGCCAGTAGTTATGCACATTAATTGGGTTTTACTACTGAATAAGGATAACCTAAGATTTACAAATTGACGGCTCTGCCGCAAATAAATCAAACAAATACAGTTTTTAATTTTGAACCGAAGATTGTTTTTGCCTTGGTTAAGGTTTTAAGTTGGAGGTAGCAGATTGCGATCCACTACACTCATACTATTCACGATTTGCCAGTTGCCATTCACCATTGGTAACCAGAAATTCAGTGCCGAGTGAGGAAGTCGTACTCTCATACTCAAAGTGTGTCGAACGGATAAAAGCGCTAGACTTCACACTAAAATCTTGGATGGGCTATTGAAGTATGGCTCAATGTATGAAGTCAGGTCAAAATCATGACGCACTCATTGATTGGAAGACAGCATCGAAGTCAGGTCAAAATCATGACGCACTCATTAATTGGAAGACAGCATCGATGGCGAGGTTACCATTCGCCCTCATCAATAACCAGATTATTTGGGCCCACGAGGATAGCCATTCTACTTTTTTTAATCAGTGGACTGTAAGTTCTCTCAATTGCAAACTCATACATAAGAGATAAAGAGCACACTTCCTCTTCCGGTACGTACCGCCCAAAATTGATGATCTAGCCGTATTGCCACTCTTTGCAGACATGCTCTATAGTAAACTCCATAGAATCAGTAAAGTCCCGTCCAGGGCTTAATGGAGGGACTACATGTAAAAATGCTCGAAACTGATCTGTTAGGAGTAACAGCACCGCTCGGTGAGCGTACGACACGGTATTGCTAGATCGGTATCACAGTATTTCGTAGTAACTACACCGAAAGAAATGAGTCGGAAGCTCCTGGGATTTCTGGTTACGTCATTATACGTCTATTGACTTAGCTTTTCAGACGACATCGAACCTAAGTAGAAATCTATCGTCAGATGCATGTCACATCAATCGTTTGCGAGCAGCACTTGAGCATATGTGCTGAAGAAAGCGGTTCGCATAAACGATAGTCCTTGGCACCGAAGAGTGTTTCTATCTGCTGAATTTATCAGAAGCATGGCCCACGGGCAAAGCAAAGTGTGGCTTGGCCAGAATCACTGTCCCAAATATACTAAAGAAGTTTGGCCTGGTCAACTACTTGGCTCAAGTATAGTGCAAATTGCGTCGACATGGACATCATATTGAATGTATACCAGCTGGTGCTGTGAGATGCGACATAAATAACGACCTTGGATGCTGATAAAAAAGCTTTATGTGTTCCACCATTATAATCCATCAAATCCAGACAGGCTATCTAAAAGTGAAATTTATGAAAGTGTAATTGCGTTTAGATTGCGCAAACTAGTAGTGGTAGAGAAGAACTATGCAGTCTATGACAAGGAGTCACTTGGTACAAAATATTTTCTATCAAATTCGAATTTATGAAAGTGTAATTGCGTTTAGATTGCGCAAGCTAGTAGCGGCAGAGAAGAACTATGCAGTCTATGACAAGGTGTCACTTGGTACAAAGTATTTTCTATCAAATTCAGGGTACACTGTTCTACTCTAAACAAATCATTCTTATTTGTGCACAGCGACGTCCTCACCACATCCATAATCAATATTGGCACGATACATTTTATTCGATGTCAAATCAGCAATTTAGGTAAGATATGAACTGGGTCGGCTCAATGTGGTGGCGAATGCGCTTTAACGTTGTCCAGACTATGAACTATCCAAGGTCACGACGGTTGCAGTGGGGCTGCCGTAGATCATTTGCTTACAAGAAGCTTAGCTACGGTTGCCGATCCTACGTTCTAGGCTAGAACCAATACGAGTGTAGCGGATCGCAACCCGCTTTCTCCAAGGGTAACTACATCCTTAACCCAAGGCAAATAAAGTCTTCTGTGATGAATGTAAATTGCATTTCTTTGTTTATTTGTGCAGAGCCACCTATATCTAAATCTATAGGTGTTCGTAAATCAGGAAAACCTAATTAAGTGCGTAACTACTGGCGGTCCAGCCACAAAGTAGTTTCTTGTTAGGGTGTAGCCACACCCTTGTGTGGTCACACCATCTTGTGTGACCCACCCATTCATACCAGGGTACGTACAACCCCTTTACAACAGTGAAGTTGCCCATTGACGAGACGATACATATAGCGTACGGATCAAATGCAATATATGCTGCGTTATTAAGCCTTTGGGAAGCCAAGGGTTTCTGAGCTTAGACGTATCTGGAAGCGTGTTTTGTGCATTTGCATCGTAAATCTTTTTTTTCGGTTGTAAAGATTATTGCTCTGACCCACTTGACGCGCAACTTACGGTGATACGTCTAAACGAGAGCCTCAATTGCAAAATATTTTACGCGCACTCGACACCTTCATGGTGGCCCTTCTTATGGAGACGAGACTTATGATTTAGTGAGCGCTGTCATGCAGAAGCAGTTAAGCACATATGTGTGCATCGGCGAATCTATGAGTGCGCTTAGGCTTCGCTGCATGCATTGACGCCATTGTTCAATACCTCCTGAAAATGGTGGCTGTTCATCAGTATGAAAATTATGGTTGGTCTCTCAAAAGGTGCGTCTGGTAATTTCGACTTCGCGATCTTTGTGGGCCGTCTGAACAGAATGATTTACCTCGTTTCGATCAGCCAGTAAGGCTCAATAGCTGTTCGTCGGCAATATTTTTCCGCCAACATGGCTTAGGGCGAGCATTGTTTTGTATCGAATTCCGCGGTTGTCCACAATTAGTTTTGGCTGATTTCCTAAAAGTGCTTGAGACGCAATTAAACATGGCCATCGCTGACTATTCGCAGACAAATGGTTAGAAGGAACGAGTGGTGGAGGATCACGTGCGGCGGTGCCGATAAAAATTACTAACCCTTATTGTCTGTGCGCGTTAAATGAGGCAGGGCTTGCGTCTACAGGCACAGCCTAATATGTTATGAGCTGTCTTATATTTGCTCCGCCAAAATGTGGCTTCGGTCTTGGTGGGGAGTGCCAATTTTAAATTTGCTCGGTTCGTTCTCTTGAATGGAAGCTTCGTCGAATATGCGTGTATTATATCCTTCAAAGCGCGGTAAACATCTTTTGAAATTATTAAAGTTGCGACTTGATCCCCATAATTTAAAGAAAATTGGCTTTACGGTCGACCACGTCCCATGGCCAACATCTTATACACTTTAGTACTTAATGCGCGCAAGAATTAAAGCCGTAATACCCAATTTTGTTTGTGTCGGGCTTTGAAGTGTTTGTGCTAGCCGTGGCAACAGAAGTGAAGAGTGATGCGTAAAACAAATCAACTTCTATCAGCTATAAACGGTGTGTTTTGGGCCCATGAGTACTTTTAAGACTTACTTCCTTTAATCACGTAGGTATAAATCCTTGCTATACCAGACCCATTGAATTCCAAAGAGGTCTTTTTTAACTTTTTTTGAAACAAATAAATCGCTATATGCAATGCTTAATGCTGTGGTATTGTGCAGACTTCTTCTGTATGATAACACCATCTTCCTCACATGTACCAGTATCTTGGTATGGAATTATTTTTCACATTTACCTCATATGTATCAGTAGTTCTAATATTTGCTCCAAGCCTGAGAAACAATGGTTTCTTAATCACATTTCTGTTACACCGTACTTGGGAGGTCTCCTACCAGCCGTAAAATTTAATAATTGCGTTTAGCTCTTGATAAGACCCCCACAAGTTATGCATCCCACTTATATTGTCTTTCGAAGTTTCGCGCAAAACTCAGCATGCGACAAGCACCCAGGGCACTAAAATATCATCCCCACCAATGTATCGAATGGTTTCTGCCCTTACGACCATTACTCACATCGAAAACTACCAAAACGAGTCCTCATTGATCAATTATCCACTGAAAAAATGACGGCACCGTGACCAAAGGCCTTCGCACCATACTCGGTGAGATAGCCGGGATATTCACTGATATCAACGATCACAGCGACCTAAGAGACTTGAAGATAATTTCAAGCTCGCTCTCTAAGCTGAGCCGTCGTATATATGGTGTAATGTACCTCGAGTGGTAAGGAATCAAATCGCGGCTTGCAAACAAAGAGAAGTTCCGCGACGTGAGATTATTGGGAAATCGCTTCGTCTTCATTAGAATGCGTCGCAACTGGTAGGATAAAAATGCGTGATCGTAGTATGACCTACCTAGAACACAGTTTGCTTTGAGATATCGATGATACCAAGTATTCTGCAGACAGATAGGTTAATCGCGTTTGATTGGAAGCTTTCCTCCACTACATATTCATGTGTGCTCCTTCCCTGCATATTAGTTTGATCATCGTGACTCTCAGCCTTAGCGCCGCAAGCTCGACGCATGGCGCTAAATTGCATCAAGATGAATTTGTTTTTTTCTATTAAATTAAGACGGACTGATATCAGACAATCGAAGCCTACCGGCGGCTTCTCCTGGAGCCACTTTGTGGTGTCAAAAGCTAGCCAACATTCATATTAAATGGGGTAAGACCTGAACAGGCAAGAACTGCATAACTCAGCACTTTATGATCAGTAATATGTCGCGTCAGCACCGAAATAGCTCCGCACAGGTGTTTCTCGTAATTAATCACCTATTGTGGGTGGTCAGCGCAAGAAATGACGTAAAATGTACTTTTTTCATTTTCATCCCCCATTTTGCCATGATGCAAACTACTATCGACTGCTAACCTCAGTACACTAGTCGTAATCTTTCACGCTCTTTCTCGTGAAAACTAATTTCAAATGTCTTGGCTTTAGACCCCTTTTGTATCAAAATCGCTTGTTTCACTGAAAAACGTATGTACTGTGTCCCCCCAGAACCATAAACGAGGTTCGCCGGAACTTTGCTGTCAACCGCAAATGTTAGTCTGAAAAAATAGCTACGTCAGCATCATGACTCGCTGGACTAATCCCTTCAAACAAGCAGTGATGTTGCTGGCCACAGCAAAATATGCTCGGACCATTCACAAACACAACAATCTCAGTATTATTTTACTAGTCGCTTCCGACATGAATTTCAAATTAAAGTTTATGAAGTAAAAAGTCCAAAATTTGCTGCCAACTTTCTACTAATTAGTGTCATCAACACTATTATAATGTATCGTACTTGTTTGTATGCCATCCAATCACCTTTTATATTTTATGTGTTTATACATAAAATATAAAATTCAGTTTTTCATCTTACCATCATGCGCGTCTATTGCCATCTTTTGCTTTGCGATCAAATTGAAAGGAAAACCATATCATGATTCAGATACAAACGAACGTGTTTCTCTTAGCACATCAACACACGAAGCTTACGCACTCTCGAGTACTGCACATAGATATAATGTCGCACTTGTGGATAACGAGGTTCATGTTAATAATAAAGCGAATGAAGAAAGAATATCAAAGCGTGTTATTGCTGATGTGGTGTATATTTTAGAGATAGAAAGACCAACTTTACCAGTTCATGGAATGCATGAGATGCAACATTCGATTCAATTGGAATCAGGTCCTTCTCGCGAACTAGCGCACGTTTATGATGTCCTCAGATTCGAACTATATGATGGTATATTTGCATACAAGCTTGATCTTGAGATTGATGAGTTGCTTAAATCCTGGTTGAGGCACGTTCAATCCTTTTGGAATCTTGAAGACAATCCTTCAGGATTCGATATCAAAGTGGTGCTGAATTTTTTAGTGGAGAAATTGTCAGCACGGACTCATGAGTCACTATCCGAAACGTCAAAATATCAACTTGATCTACACCGACAAGTAGTGAAGCTATTTGATCAACTTCTAGCTGATCTTGAGTTCCAGAGTTTTGCAAGGGATGTATTGCGAGTGATGGTATTGGATTCCACTTACAAGACTTTGGTCTTTGAGAAATGGACACAAAACCTTAATCGTCCAGAAGATATGCTTGATATTTTCGTTGGTACGAAACCTTCACTTTTTTTCAATAGCGTGGCTTAGTTACGCCGACTGGTACTGGACTTTTGCGAAAGATCAAAGTTTTGATCGATACATCAATTTCGTTCGCTCGCTACGCAAATTCAAGACGAACAAAGAGATGGATAGGATGCTTCGATCACGAAAGTTTATTAGTGCTTTTTCGCAAAAAGTCGGTGATGGAGTCTATGTAAGAGCAATACAGTATGCTTGGGAATTTGAAAAGTGGATGAGCACATCGTCACTCACGGTTCACAACTCGAACATAATACAAAAAGAGGTAGAAGCTATTCCATCAATAAACAATGACGAGCTGACGTGGTTATTTCATTATTTCTACACGAAAGATACTCAATTTGACGACCTCAAGCTACTCGAGTTTTGTCGCATTTGATAAACTGGTGAAGCTGTTAATTTCGCTTCAAGATGATTTAGAAGTGAAACAGGTAGCTCAAGATATGCTCATCTCCCTGTTTACTTCTGATTCTGATACCATGTTTGAAGCATTAGTGAAGGCCAAAGTCACCGATTCAGATTACTTGGAATATCTCAGCAAATTAGCTGCTGAGATTGATCAGTCAAAACACCCGATTGATGTAAATTATCACTTTCCAAATACCAATCGATGTTTGAGGAACATATGAACAAGGTGCGAAGTCGAAAGCGTTTCAAAGCTTCTTGAAAGCTTCGACTCAAATGATAAAGCATGGACCGGTACATGGTAAGCATAGACGCAAGATAAAGAATGCTTTCTACTGCCATTTAGTCATAAAAATGTACACATGAACTTATTCCTCGATTAAATTTGTTTATTAAGTCGTTACTGACCTTGAAACTCATTTGTTTGAAGGCTTTCAATTACATCATTTGCACTTGATATTTCCTCGACGTCAGAGCGTAAAGCCAGCTTGGTATATTTAGAATCACTGAGACGATGTGTTTAACACTCCTGATCACATTAAATTTAACGTCTCAGTTCAAGATTCCCCACCAAGTCAACTACAAACTCTATTCATCACTACGAACCCGTACGACACTTGTCCCGACGTGACTCATGCAGCAATCCAATTCTGTAGCCTTATCACAACTAAAACCTATCTCGAAATTGCGAGCAGGTATAGTTTCCCCCCCACGTCTTGTAATTCTTGGTCCGCCAGCTGGTGGCAAAGGAACGCAATGTGAACTTCTAGTGGAATTGTTAGGAGTTGTACATCTCTCAACGGGAAATATTCTACGTCAAGCTATTCAAGACAAAACGACACTTGGTTTAATGGCTCAACAATATCTTGACAATGGTGAATTAGTCCCCGATGATCTCATCACGAACGTTGTTCTCTCTCGTATCGCGGAGTCTGATTGTAAAACACGAGGTTGGCTTCTTGACGGTTTTCCACGAACCGTCGGACAGGCGAATGCATTGCTAACGTTTAAAAATGGCTCAGTAGTACCTGATTGTGTTTTGGAACTAGAAGTACCAGACGAAGAAGTCATTCGACGTATTGCTGGTCGACGAGTTGATTTAATAACAGGAAAAACGTATCACATGGAATTTGATCCTCCTCCAACTGAAATTGTTTCTCGTATGAAACAGCGAAGTGATGATACAGAAGAGAAAATTCGAACACGTTTGATACAATTTCATTCTCATGTTAATGCTGTTCGCTCTACATTTGAATCGTATTGTAATGCTACGATTCATATCATGCGTGCAAGTGGAAATCAAACACCTGCAATTATTGCTCGAACGTTTGCTGACTTTGTATTGCATCATATAGCACAACGTAGTCTTCATCTCATTCGACTGGACATTTCTAAACGTATTCGTCGTCGAGTGGAATCTGGAGAACGTCGAATTCTTTGGACTTCACCACGTAATCCATCGTATCCAAATCGAGCAAATGTTCGAGCATTCTATGCATCACGTTGTATTAGTGAGCAAGATCAACAGATTCAACCTTTACGTCGAACCATGCGAGATTTATTTCGTCGGTTGCGTCTTGTGAGTTAATTCCTTCGTTAGCGTTCTAATATCTTCAAAACAATATAATTGGATCTCAAGATGCGAAAGTTGGATTGTGATATGAGATATCCGTTATGACAGTTGAGCTTATTTCTTAAGCAACTTCTTCGCTACTTCTTGAAGAAAGAAATGTTTCCATAGAATTTACTCTCATAATTCGACACCCATTGTCTTTTTTGATTTTATCAAAATTCGATGTTTTGAGAACTAATAAACAAGTTATTATATATGGGCGATAAAGTATAACCTGGGTACAGACTGAAAACTTCCGTTGCTACGATGAAAAATATGACCTTTAATAATACATATAGTAAAAGAAATGTAGTAATAGTATTAAAATGATATCAGTAAGAATCTTATTGTATGCATGAAAGAATCATTGCCACAGCCAGGCGAGACAGTGTGCTTACCACCCAATCAATCCTTTCATACGTCTTCCGAATATACCAAATAAAGCAGCCTGGTAAATTTGCGACGCGCGGTTTGTGGCAGCCACCACGTCGTAATGTATCATATGAAAGATAACTGCAAAAGATCCGACCTCCGACTTTCTCCGACCTGTTATATTCTCCTAACTCAAGTTATTGCACTCGTTGTGGTAACTTCAGGCAGTCCTCGTAATTAAATTCTGTTCTTTGATAAAGTTTAGCAGCACAAAGTTGTTTTTGACCCTCTTTTGTGGATGTACAGGTCCCGCGCCCATGTTTTCTAGCAAACGAGGCGACTATTTTAGTTTGATTACTAAGATTGACTAAGGGTTCGGGAGTCGGAACGTAACAAAAGAGAGATTGTATACATGTTATAGTAAAGAATATAAAAAATAGTTGTATGGTATTCAGAAAAGAGAACATGATTAAAACAAAAGGCTACTGTTGCGAACGTATACTAAGTTTAAATATAAATGAGAGTATATGTGTTACATTCGTGAAAATATTGAGAACAATCAACTGATCTTGCTTTGCTCATAAGGGTAAAAATTTCTAATATTTCATGATTCTTGACGTCAACGAAAAAGCATATCGCGCAGAAAAACAGCAATAAAAAATCTCTGTGGATACCAAACCTATGCAAACTTTCTATACTGTAAAAACTCACTTCTTTTTGCCCCAGAACCGACAGTATACTTCCATATACTTTCGGTCTGCACGTCGAGACTTTCCAGTAGCGGTGCAACGAAATTTACCGAAAAGTATCACCGATTGGGATGAGTCGCCAGAAGTTTCCGCTGAAAAGCCTGTCTACTCTAACGCAGCTGCATGGAACACACGACCTTTAAGCCGACAAAGTCCGTCGGACACGGCATTAATACATTTGCAAGCTACTCGATATGTCGACATTCAACTCACATCGCCGTTCATTGTCCGAAGTCTACCACTTTGACTATCTTGCCACACGGGCTAACAATACGACGAAAGAATCAAACTATTTGTTATCACCTGAGGAGTGTGAAGACGACCACTACTCGTTTGTTCAAACCGTGCATCACGAAACTGAGTGGCTTAAACATCGTTCAAAGTCCGAGAGCTTCATATGTACAGCACAGGGGGTCGTGTTTAAGTGCCAAAAGTCTCAGTCCAAGATTAAGAGTCTTATGGCATTGGCATCTACTTCGTCTAGCTCTCAAAGCAATGTGTTACTAGCGAAAAAGGCGTTGCGATATCGCAAAGTGCTTGAACGTCAATGCGTTCTGGCCTAAAATCGAGATAGAAGACTACGAGCACTATCAACGAGATATTAAAGGGTATATATGGTGTCCATTGTGTGATAGTTACGCGTAGATTAATAAAAACAGTGTTAGCAATATGTAGTATTTAATAATAACACCCTTATGAATCATATGTGTTTTTAATATGAAAGCTGCAAAAAATATGTATCAAGAAGTTTAAGCTTGAAATATTTGGTAGTAGTCTTATCGTTAAGTTAATGTGAAAATTCAAGTCTTATTTTGTGTTCAAAACATTAAAAATGTAGCTTTCAGAAATAAATACATTCGAGTGTAGAACCTTCAAGAATGAATCTATTTGTATTTGGTTCATATCCACCACATGGAAGCGTGGGTACGTGATAAAGTATCGCTTCTCAACTTGGATGCTTCAGTCTACGTCGACTATGCATTGGGTTTACTACAAGATCAAGACGAGTCGATATCTGAGAGAGTAAACAGCGTAATTTCCGTCTTCATGGGTGCAGCAGACGGTCTTGTACCTCAGCATGTATTGGATGAGATTCTAGACGTTGAGAAGATGACACAAGACGTTGAAAAGCTGCTTCAGCTTAAAGAAGAAGAGATGCAAAAAGCGAGTGAACTTGAATTAGAAGAGAAGACATTGAAGGATTTGCAACTTCGTGAGAAACAACGAGAAGAAGCTGAGGAGGCAGCACGACAAGAGAAGCAGAAAGCAGCTGATCGGTACAAGAATATGACACGGAAAGAGATGATGGCACGTGAGCAACTTGTGAATGAGTATGGTCTTCTAAGTCTTTCCGAGTTTGACGAGGATGGGAACGTAGTGAAGGTGAAGGATAGAGACAAGACCATAGATGACATTGGTCCTTCGAATTCGAATCGACAGAGAGCACAAGAAGCACAGAATTCATTGCGAGAAAAGATGAAAAAAGAACATGAAAAGAAAGTCAAGTATGAGAAAGAACTTTTAGCGAAAGATAAAGCACGCAATGACAAGACGAAAAAGAGAACAATGAAAAAAGAAAAACAACGTGGTTGTGGATAAATAGTGACGAAGAATAGATGAAGAAATTAAATGATGTAATAAAATTCTCTTCATTGAAAAAACGATGACTTTAGTTTGCCTTATTGCGATATCGTAGTGCTTTCTGCGCAAGTAAAGCATTGCTTGAAGAAGTGTCGGCACATGTTGCAAGTGCTTTCAAATTATCAAGTTTTTTCTGGTATTGACAATACTTTGGATCTTCAAACTTGACACCTTGTGCTGTTTGGATCATAAATCTCGAATGTAAGTCCACAAGAAAGTTCGTCGACTTGTAAAAACGTTTCTTGTCATTTCGTTTCGATTCATACCATGGCATTTCATTAATTAATGCAGTAAGAAGATGAAGTTTATAATCTTCAACCAACGATAATCGACGTAAATGACGTCCATGTGTCAAATGCGATGAATCAGTTGAATGCATTCTTTGTATTGGTGTTTAGTACTAAGTGAAAGACGGAGTGACATCTTGACTGTCCTTAGTACATCGTTGAAGGCTTCCAGATAGTACCGCTGAAGTGAAACTGCGTAGACGTTTCCTTAAAGTTATTTTTTAACCATCTTTTGAGTGAACAAAAGCGTTCTACGAATAGATTAAAGTCATAGAATGAGCAACAATGTTAAGAAATGAGTAATAATGCTAAGAAATGAGCAACACATTTAACAACGATTACTTTGACATTCCTCGAGTCTATTTCTTCACTATTACATCATTTCGTTTCCATGCTGTTCTTTGATTCTATGAAGAACATTTAATAGCCAGTACAAATTCCAACGGCTTGCAACACATATGAAAATGTAAAATATCACTTCTACTTGCACTATACAATTGTATACCAAAGTCTTTTGTTATGTGGCTTGGGCTACTAAATCAGTGTGTCCAAAAGTAATGACAACGTCTCAATACTTCTTATTGCTTATCTATTCTTTACCATGCACACTTAAAAACACACCTACATCAATAAGCTCTCTCGTTCCTCGTTTCCCACGTCATGTATTTGACATAATAGTCCTCTACGAACTGCACGTGAACATCCAACATGTTCACATCGTTTTCCACCTCCATGAGCAATACAAAATCCATTTCCACGATCTTTCTTTTCACATTTCTCAAATTGACACTTTCGAATGCCACCATGGACATAACATCGACCTTTACGTTGTTGTCCTCGTGTACAACCTGGAAATTCACATCGTTTTCCACCTCCATGTGCTCGACAGAATCCACCACCTTGAGAGCTTCGATTACATCCACCAGGTCCCGTAAATTGACATCTTGCACCACCTCCATGAGCTTTACAACGACTATTCGATTGAGCTCTTCGCATACAATCTAGTTCCACACATTTTTTTCCTTTGGCTAATTTTCCAAATCCTTTTCCTCTTCCTTTCGTGAGATTCGTAGCTTTTTCTTGAGAGTGAGAACTACATTCCATACGAGAACGTTTTGATGCTTTTGATGGTGTCTCAAGATCCGCCGATACAATTAATTCTTTTAATGAATTACTTGTTAATGATGCAGGTGGAGAAATTGTGAGTGAGAATGATGGTCGATCGAGAGACTCAGTACTTTGTGGCGGAGAATTCGAATTTAACATGGCAAGCCATATTCCTGAAGTTGCGGGTTGAGATTGTACTATTGGATGATACATGTCAACTGATCCTGGACTTGGTTGATGTTGCATGATAGATGATGCCACAGATGCTTGTGCCACTGATTGTTTGATTATTTGTGGCGTACTTGTGTCATGAAATGATGTAGTGTCTTGTCCCCATGCATGTGGTGTTGCCATTGTTGAAAACTGATAATTCTGACAATATAATTGTCCAGTAGTTGGATAATTTGACATTAAAGTCGTATCAAGTCCATACGTTGAGTTGGAAGTAGCTGCACTTGTAGCTAAGGTTTCTTTTGTCATGATTGTATCAGTAGTACGAGGTAACTCCAACGGCTCTAAAAGCAATGCAAGATTGTTTGTAGCCGATTTTCCTTGAGTGTCATGAAAATCTTGTGCATGAAGCATGTGGCCAAACATTTCTTCGTCATTTATTCGTACAAATTGTGGCGTCTCCTCATTTGGTGCTTGAAATGGTAAATTATACGATGAAGATGCAACAATGCCACCACCAAGAAGTGAATTTGGTGGTTGCGGGGGTATGAAATTGCCACTTCCTGGTGGTGTCGGGACAAAGTTACTAAGTGCCTTCACACGACCACAAGTTGGCAACGATGGAAAGAGACTGGACGAGCCCACAACAATTGGTCGCATCTCAGGCGCAAATAGCGATTCGACAAATGCTCCGTCGTCCATGGTATTACCATGCAAAGGTTCTTTGTACGATGGGCTCGTACTGTCGCCTTGAAGTTGCCGTACGTACATAAGAAGTTGAGGTGGAAAAGCCAGTGAAGGGAAAATCCGCACACCTGATTTTTGGCTGGACCTGTTGCGAAGCGTCAAGCTTTCAAGTGGTTACTTTTTTTTTTTTTTTACGAAACAAGAAAAGATGGTGGGAGAGAGTAAAAGAGTTGAGAATGTGG